TGGGAGGATCTCCATGGAAGGAGCCTCCACAACCAGGCCTGGAGGGCACTGCCCCTCTCGCTCACCACCCCTCTGCTTCGAGGCCTCTCTGTGGCGGCCGGAGCTTCGAAACAACCCGCACTGAAACTGGTGCAGAGCCTTGGGACCATCCTTTGGCCTCAGCCATGTCCTTATTCCCCCGGATCGTTGCCCGTGGGGTGTCGTTAAGCACCTGAGGGCCTGAAGGCCTCCGCGGGCGCGACTGAAGTGCGTCCAGGGAAGGCGGTGTCAGCTCCAGGGCCGCGCAGGCCTGGCGCTTGTGTACATACAATAAAGAACAACCCAATGGAGATGAAAGGGGGGGCTGTTCGGCAGCCGTGGCCACGTCCATAAAAAGGTGCAGTCCTAAAAGTTTATAAATAACTTAAACTGTCTTCACCTCGGGTCGCTTTGTTGTGGGCCGTGCGTTCTAATGAGGAGCGTGGAAGGAAAGGAAGGGCTCGTGGAGCAGCGCGGCAGGGGCAGTAAGGCAAAACCCTCCCAAAATGCTCATTCTAGGCTTGAGGAGAGCCCGCTAGTGGAAAATGGGCTTTTCCAAGGCGTTTGGGCCGCCGGTTTGCAAGGCCGGGGCTGCGACCTGTGAGGGAGGGTTTAATGGTGTCGGCGGTGCCGCAAATCGACGCCTTTGCAGGAACCCGCCGCGCTTCGGAGCAGCATCTGAAGCTCAAGCCTGGCTTGTAGGTGGTGCGAAAGCCTGCTCGGTGGGAAAGCAAAGGTTGTTTTCCCCTCTCTGTTATATAACGCACAATGTTATATGCAATAGCACTGCAGATACTCAGGGAAGAGAAGGGATTTGCAGTTCTAGCGCCTGTACCCGCACAAATTAGCACAATGTGGCCATTAAATGGTGCTAATTCAAGGGCCCACGTGCTAAGGCTGCCTTTGGTCTACGGGCATAGAAAAGGGCGCTCTCCTCCCAAGTGCTCTGTGATCTGGACGTCCTCCTGCTCTGCATCTGCTTTGGAGCTGACATGGAGTGTCCTGCAGCCCCTTTTGACTTGTCTCCATCACGAGGGCCCCTTGGTCTTCTGGTGGTCCCTTGTTGGGAATCATGCCCAAAGCCTCCCTTGGCCCCGGCGCCTCCTCTCCGCCTGCCTTCCCAGCCTTCTCCTGCAAATGATCCTGCCTTAAACACCCCCAAACAATATCCCTCCTAAGAGGGAGACCTTCGTGGCTTCACTGGTTCATAGGGAAAGCAAGATGCGAATATACCGTCCATCTCTTTATAAAATACATGCTATGGAATGCAATCTCTGGCAAAAAAAAATAATATTTTAATCCATTAGCCTTGCAGGCATAATTAAAAAAAAAAAATAAGCACCAATCTCCGTCCTGCTCCCACATAAAATTGTCACCTTGTGTTTCGTAAATGAATTAAGCACAGCAGAGCAATTGTCCTTGGCTGTAGGTCCATGTTCTTGTGCGCCGGTGCCTTCTGCGCAATCATTTCAGCGTCAAGGTGTTTACTAATGTTATTTTCCTTGCACGAGTTTTTAATAACATTCTTTGGGGAACAGTTCCACTTAAGAATTGTAAATTACTATTTTCTTTTTTTTTTTTTCCAGACACATAAATATCAGCACTTGTGTTTATGAATGTGTTTTGCCGTTTCTTTGTGTGTGATATGTTGTGGCTTAGTAGATGATGCGAGGCTCGAAAGAGAATAAGTATGGCTTTTTTCATCTGGAGCTGATAGTAAATAAGTCTATTTTCATGAGCATCTACACATTTTTGAGGTTTTTCTGTGAAAGAAGAATCAAATCTGTCTGTTCACCTTCTTTTGTTTTGAAAAGTGAGATCAATGTGGCCCTCAGTTTTTGTTGGCAATTTTTCTTTGCTGTTCCCCGTTTAACGAGTATGAGTACAGCTGTAGTTTAAAGAGCATTTCTGATTTATAAAAGCAAAGATTTTTTTTCTCCCACAAAGGCCAGAATTTGGTGAAGTGCATTTTTTTTGTGTGTATAAAAGCTCTTTTTTTCCCATTGATTTAGTGATGAGAAATGAAACATTCAGTGTGCTAAGGGGAAATGAAAACAACTACAAATATGAAAAATTCCACAGATCTCAAGAGAATAAACGGAGAAGAACTAATAGGAATTGCAGAGACCTCTGAACTTCTTACACCCAGATCTTGTGCTCCTTAAATGTAATGAAAGCGGAGGCCAGATGTGGGATACCAGGTGAGCTTCAGCCTGCTCCCTCTAAACTGGACATCAGTGGAGGTAGCCCAGGTGTTCCTGGGCTAAAAAGAAACTTAATAAGTGCCATTAGTGCATTTATCCAGGCCACCTTCCTCAAATTGCCACCTCCTGGGGTCACCTCTCCGGACAGGGCTCATCGTAAGCATTAAAATGCATTTGCAAGGGAATGGATGATGGAGCATTTCCTTCTTGCTTGGAGTTGCCAGCTGCCATGAAAATGGAATTTTTCTTTCCAATTCCTCTCCTCTGTTTGTACCGTCTTCATAAATGTGAATTATTTTTGATGTGATGGAGAAAAAAATGTCATTAGGTGACAAAGACTCAGTGCCAGTGATCCTCAAGGTTAAAAAGGTATTTGAAAACAAAGCAAAAGATTGCAAGTGAATTCAAGCCTTATGTGGCAGGCACAAAAAGCCACACTAAAGATCAATCATTAAGTTCAGAAATTGCAGATTATTATTTACTTAGGCTGTTTGCAAAGGATTGAAAATAGAGGAAAAAAAAGATTGTTAAAGACTTTTATCCCCCTCTCCAAATGTTAGTGCTTTCCTTGGTCGAAAACAACAAAGCCTCAGGATCTCATGAGCTAAACTCTGTTCTTGTTTGCACCTGCCAAGCTGCACTTAAGCCGCCAAGCTGCTATGGGTGTAAACTGGGAGAAAAATGTCAGTCTTGGCATTTTGTGCCGCCCGAGAGCTCCCACGTGCTGTTTGAGAGGAAGGTGATGGATCTCAAGCAGCAAACGTCTGAATCCAGGTTTCCAGGTCTTGCTGCTCTGGGCTGTTGGAGGCAGGGAGCGCTTCTCAAGGGTGAGCGCAATGGGAGCCTCCAAGTGGGTTGGAATTCGGGCAAGGATTTGGGTGACTAAGAGTCAATTTTGAGCTGCAAGTGACTTTTGACTTCAGACAATGTTGATCATAGTTTCCATGTGGTTTGATGTCTTTTGGCCCCTCGCAATGCAGAGGTCACTTGCAGCTTTGAGATTGGGTTGGTAGACCAGGTTCTGTCTGCTTTCCAAAACGCGGGGCAAGGTACAGGGCATTTGCAGGCATCAGGACAATTCCTTCTAATGAGAGAGGAGAACAATTCCTCCTCTCCTGAAGTGCAGGTTAAAGCTGGAGTTCATGCGTGGGTGCAGACCCGGTCTGGCACCCTATGTGGAAGGTCTGTGGTCCCTGGTGGACTGTGAGAATGGAAGGACAGAGATGTTTGAATCAAGGCCCAAAGACAGGTAAATTTTAATGCCGAACAGTTGTCCTGCTGTAAGCATTGCCTGCTTTTCCCTTGTGCTGTTTCCATCCCTGTGATGGTTCTGTGCCTCTGTGGAACCAGCAGCAGGAGGGTCAGGTTCAGCTGCACGTTTCTGTTCCTGGGAACCGGTAGCCCTGCTCAGTCACTGCAGTCACAATGAGTCCAGGCAGAGAAGATAATTTTGGAAATCCTAGGAAAATGATAATCATAAGGGAAAAAAATGGGTAGACTTCTTCCCTGCAGTGCCCCTCTTTGCCTGAATAACTCTTCTGAGATTGAGCCTGGTTTCCTGTATGTATTCCTGTGTCATACCTGTATAGGTCTAGGAAACACTTGGTGTTTCTGGGCAGTTTCTGGGCAGCTTTCCCATATGAGCATTTGCCCCCTAAAAGCCACGGTCAGAAGACACCTGGGTACAATGGGACCATCTCAGTGGCAAAAGCTAAGCAGCCTTGGTGCCCCGAGGGAGCAGAAGCAGCAGCAGATGCCACCCCGCGGCTGGGGGCTTCTCCTCCCCAGCAGCCAACGAGGGGAACGTGTCTCTGAACGACTCCCCCAACAGGCCCAGGACTTCGTGTCTGGGAGATTTGTCGGGTGATACTGGTTCAGAAGACCTTTGGCGTTGATTAAGCGGGTCACATCTGATGTATGGTGTATAAGTGAGCCAAAGAGGTGCTAGTCTTCACAAATAAAGCAAATGGGATGAGGTGCTATGCGTTCCTTTCCGAAAGGCAGCAGTCGCTTGGACTCGGCAAAAACTAATTAATACAGCTTTAAAACTGTGCTGTGTAGCTCCATGAATACTTAAGGCTAGGCTGAAATAATACCCTATATTGGTCTCGAACCACAATGAATAATATGATTATTTTTACTTTGCAAGAGGTCACAACAAATGTTTGAGATTTAAGCTGCTGTAACTACAAATTTAGCAGAAAGTAGGCATTTAATGATAGATTTCATTGCCGTGGTTTGGGTTTTATTTTGAATGTTTGTTTTGTCTTAAAAACACTAATGCTAAAACGTTGTCTCAAATCTTTATTTTCAAATTACTTATTATATTGCCATAAATTACAGGGTGCTGCTCAAGCCAGATTTAAAAGGAGGCATACTTCACTTTCTCATCTTTCTAAAAATAGCGCAGCGCTTACGAAACAGGAATCATCATTAAGGAAAGTTCTTTTTATACAGCTGAAGTCGCTAGTGCGGAGCCGGTGGCTCTCCTCCAAGTGGCACGACGGACCCCTCCAAATTTAGGACTCTAATGGCAGAGGTTAACTTTAGGAAGTCCGCGTATAACTGTAGTCTATAATTCCGCCGCAATTGCAATGTTTCCTCTCAAATGATAGTGAGGTCTCGGGGGCAATGGCTAGTGAATACCTTGTAAAGATGTTCTTCTGGCTTTCGTTTTCAGCGCGTGCTGTTAGCGCCGGCCGGAGAGCGGGGCCGTGACCCGGGGCGCTCGGGAGCCCCGGGGGAAGAGCGGGACGCGCCACGTCGGCGGGGCCGCATCGACGTGTCCTCCTCGTGGTTTGGGTTCGCCTGAGGAAAAGTCTCGAGCTGTGGTAGGTGGGATGTGAGGGCGGCCGTGCGCCTGCTGTCCTTGTGGGGCTGCCCCCCAAGAGACACGGCTGGTACGTGGTGGCCCTGTTTGGAGTGAGGAGCTGGGTGTGTGCCAGTGTTTGCACAGGGCGCTCTGCTGTGACCCTGGGGACACGTGGCACTGGTGCAGGAAACACAGCACACGGGGTGGCTGGGGGACCGTCAGGCGCCTGGTCCAGGCCATATGAACCTTAAAACCCGTGGCGCTGAGAGCAGCCTCCTTACGAGCTGCCTTCCCCGTGGCCAGCCCCGAGTGAGCGGGCAGGGAAGCAGGCGCACGGAGAAGCACCTCCTGACCACAGGGGCCCCGTGAGCAGGCCTGAATAACGAGCGCTTTTAGCACACCCTCTGCAAAGAAAAGCAGAGCCGGGCTCTGCTTTAGCCAGCTCGCCGTGGCTGCCGGCCTGGCTCCGGGCTCGCTCGGCGCAGAGGTGGCCCCTGCTCCCTTGGGAAGACAAAGGCTCGGCGCAGCGTCAATCTGCTGCTCCTCCCGGGGCTGTCTCTTCCCCCCTTGTCAGTCAAAGGTGTCAAAGTCTCTCCCCTCTATTTCTCCCCCCCTCCTCAAGTTGAGTAGTGTCAGTCATTCCTGTGTTGGTTTTTTTTTTTCTTTTTATTAATGATTCTGCAAGGCTATGTCATTACTGTGCTATACATTTTTATACAGATGGCACGACTGTGCATTTTAATGGCAAATCTGTTTCTCACATAACGCCTGAACTGCAAAAAGACTTTGACAGACTGGTTCAAGGAAAACAAACTGGTTTTAAATGTAGCAAAAACTAAAACAATGCCTTTTGGCTCTCCTAATCATCTGAACTCAAAGGAAGATTTGATTTGGAAGTCAGAAATCTGGAAGAGAATGGTGGACCCGACCTGCATGGTGGAGGAGGTAAGGGAAAAAGACAAAAAAGGCTCCTAATTCACAGGCATTTTTGTTCAGTAAGGTGCAGTGGTTCTTCCTTTACTCTCAGATTCCGTGTTGGATTGGAATTGCATTTGGCCTGCGTATCTGCAACTCTGGAGACATTGGGAGTCTGGTGGCCTTTGAATTGCAAAAGGAACTGGGGTGCTGAATTTGTAAACATGAGAACTAGAATGTAGAAAAATCACAGAAAATTAAAATTATTATTATTATAGCAGATTATGTATTTGTCCATTCTGGGATAAACCTGTTTCTCACCGGTCTCCTTTGCATGTTATTTTCTTTCATGCCTGTGAAAGTGCAAGCAGTTCCAAGCGGTCCTACCATCACTGTCTCCTGCAGTCACTCATCCCTGTCTGTCTCTGCCCCCATCTGTTGCTCTGTGCAGTGTCTTTACCTCGCACTTAATACATGGGCACAGCTCCCTGTAGCCCTGATCTTTCTCTGACGTGTCCAGTGTGGAGGTGAGGAGCTCCAATTGGAAATATCATTGCTCTCAATTTGCTCTGCTCCACTGTGTTCACTTAGGAGAATTGACTGGGGTCGATTGCTTGCATCTTAGGTTGCATCTCTGCATTTTTCATGTGCAATTTGCACAAGTTATATGCCAAATTCAAAGAACTTCACAACTCATTGCTTAGGTACCTATGTTCATAGCCAGTGGAGGGCAAAGGCTTCGTTGACAAACATGAGCAGGAGAAGGGAAAGCGCATTCTCATCAACACTGCAAACCAAAGTATCCTTTGTGAGGACCTCAAACCACTTCAAATCATCTTTCATATCATCTCACACACCCGTGGCTGCAGCAAAGTGTGAGAATGGTGATGCACTTGGAGCTTCTGCTCCATCTCCTCGCCGTCTGGACGCTGAGCTGGCCTCAGACTCGCATCTCGTGCTCGTTGACCACAGCTGCATTTCATATCCACTTCCGCAGCATGTGTGAACCACTATAAACATAAATCAGGGGAGAGTGGTGTGCAAGAACAACAGTGTCTGTAATTAAAAAAGCATCACTTACAGCATTCTTTCATGACAAAGTGTTATGTCACTTTTGTTTCATCATAAATAAAAGGGGCGTTGGATAAATTCTTGCCATGATGGGAAAGCTGCCAAAAACGAATGTGGCTTGAATTTATGGGAAATGATTATTATTTTTATTCACTAAGGTTATAGGAAAAGGCATCCTTTTGTGTGGCAAATAACTTCCTCTCTCAGCTCTAAATGTATGGCAGGTGAAAACTATTGTAGGGTGACATCACGCCAGCAAGCTCTTAAAAATCATTCCAATGTTTTTTCACTGAAGAGCTTTTCCTCCTTTGCTTTCCAGGTTGAAAGCTGATTTTCCTAACTGGAGTGCTCCGTCTGATTCTCAGAGCTCTTTTGGGGAAGGCTGTAAGGATGTGGATGTCAGAAGAAGACAGAACAGGTAAAAACGGAGGAGAGGTGTAATATAGTAAAGTACCAAAGACTGAGATCAATATACCAAAAACTTTACTAATACCATGAATTCAGAATATTTCAAGGACCTCTGATGTTGTTATAAACTTGTAGTTCATCTAAGCAACTGGGCTGAGTTTCTGGGGGTTTTTGTTTGTTTGTTTGTTTTAGACTTTGAATATAATTTTGCAAGCATTTCATGAGTAATGACATTTGAGAAGCACAATCCAGCAAGACTTTGAGACGTCAGGGTGCAATTAGCAGGTAGATCCTGTTCACTTTGCAGCACTGAACTGCACACTCTCATGTGGGCCCACTTGTTGTTCCCTGCATCTCGTCATTAACCTGCACGAAAAAGAGTAAAACAGGTGACCTTATGATTGGTATCTACTTGAGATTGACATAAAAACCTAGGAAATGCATCCAGGAACGTTTCAGTGACATCTAAAGGAAAAATCACTTCAAGCTTGCCTGCGAACCTTCCCGCTGACCTTTCTGCAAGCTGAATTTTGCCTGCATAAGTGATTGCAGAACACATATTTGAAGAATGTGGCCGTGAGACACGTTGCAAATGTATCCGGTGAGAGCAGAACCGATTGTTGTGAGGAAGGCCAGAAATTTCCTATAAGTCGATAGGACAGTTCACGGAAAGATGGCATATACAGTGATTTCATCCAAAGCAGCAGCCTGTAGCTAGTTAGCTCCAAGTCAAAATACAGCTACATGTAGACACAGGTAAGCTTTTCAAAGGCATCTTTAATGACTCCTAGAAATGGCATGCAGGACTGGAAGAGTTCAGCTAGTAACTCGCTTTCTTTGAAGATTTCACTCCTAGTTGCCTCTTTTGCCATGGCTGCGGCGAGCTGTGCTTTTCCAGATGCTCATCCCTATGGATTCAGACTTGACTTCAAAGGACGAGCCCGGGCTGGAACAGTGGCAAGGTGCTAACAACTGCCTTCCCGACCACATGGCACCAGAGCATCCTCGAAGGAGGGAGAAATATGGGACCTGTGGGGCTGGGGGACAAGTGGATAACAGCCACTTAATGTGTGATACAGGGACAGGGCTGTGAGAAGGTGGCTCTGATTTGTGGTGGGCGTTGACAGGGCTCCTCGGTACTAAAATATTTCAGTGTAGGAGCTGCAGAATTGTGAAGGGCCCCTGTCTTTATGGATCAGGACGGGAAGAGATCTCACTCCAACCCTTGCCCAGAGGTTAGTGGCATCTGAGATGCTAAAGTTCATTTACTGTCCGGTTCCTGTTTCTGCAGCAGAAAGCTGCTATTCCTTGCCCAGCAAGGAGCTGCAAAGCCACTTCGCTGATAAGTGGGTGGAATTTTTCATCTAATTTAGCACTTTAGACTTCAAAAAATGAACCTTTCCCTTTTTCTTTGTTGAATTAAAGATGCAAAGAAGTTACTACAAATAACATCCTTGGAGGGTCTCACTTCGAGTATTGTTGGGAGGCCAATGACAAGAGCAAGGCTCCTTCAAGGATCTCTTCAGAGCAGGGTCCTGGTGTAGGTGCTTTGCATCTCCATCCAGTGGACACCAGCCTTTTTCATGGACACAAGGTGGATTCCTAACTGCAGATACTGGATTTTGGCTCTGCAAACACTGCCAAGTGCTGAGTTCGCTCAGTTGGAGGGTAGGAGGGGCAGGGGGTTGTGCCAAGTGATATGTTGGCCTTTGGGTGGACATGGCACGGAATGATAATGAGGCTTGGAAGGGGGAAGAGAAGAAAGGAAGACTGGGATGGGCAGGAAGGTGGGGGATGCAATCCAGCATCACCCCTCCATTCGCCAGGATCAGACCCTTCCTGCCCGTGGTGTTTAAAATCCGAGCAACGTGGGGCAGGAAGGTGAGTACCTTTGCTCTGCACATCCCCTCTGGGAGGACCATATGAAGGCTGGTATCAGATTCCTATAAAGTGAACAACTTATTCGCTCCACCTTCCAAAATACAAAAGTATTACATATTTTACCTTCCCAGCTAAGAAAAGGAGGCAGTTCCTGGGGAGCTAAGCAAATACTTCAGCATTGACACTGTGTCCAGCTGACCACTACATTCATGTGAACAACAGACCGGGCTTTGTTGGCCAAAGCTGTGCTCATACCCCTTCCAAATGCGCTTCCCACAGCAGTTCTAGCGGGCCGAGAATTATTCATAGCCGTGTCCAAGAATAATGACTAAAACCCAACTGTAAGCTGCTCGCAGGCATGGCCAGGAGGAGGTTTAATTTTCCAGATTACTCAGTGTGGATTATTAATTGGACTTGACTAATTTCTAGCTGAAAGCAGCCTTTCTCTCTCTTTTTCCTTCCTTCCTTCCTTCCTTCCTTCCTTCCTGGTCGTGCTCCTGGATCCAGAGACACTGTGTCCGTGTCACAGTGACACCTGAACCCACACGACTGGCCCTGCTCTTCAAGTCAGTCTCAGAGACCGAAGTCTTGGAAGAATGCGTGAAAAATAAGATGGTTTAAAAAACTTTGTACTCATTTTTGCCCTTTCCCGCCCTTGTTTGTTCTTTTCTGACTACCTGCTGTATAAGTTGCAGTTGCTTAATGACAACAAAACGTAGCTCCCAATGAGTTGGGCTCCAAACTTCTTGAACTGCTTATTTCAGAGAGGAAATGTAAATTTTGGAGTAGAGGCAACGCTGCATCCGCCTTGGATAAAATACACAGGTCGTTCTGCCACCGGGTACTTTATTTAACATTTTGGCTATCCTTTATCAAAAGCACCGCTGACGAGGCTTTGCAGTTTGCACATAATAAGCACTCGTCTTTAATTAGCACCTTAGTTCTCCCCCCTTGCCCCTCTCCCAGGCAAAAGCCAAACCTTCCCCGCTCCCAAAATGGGAGATGCAAAATACTCCACGTGTATTAATATATACAGGAGCCCAGAGGAACTTTTCTGTCAAATGCTGTGTGAATTCGAGCTTCATTTTCCCCTCAGAAATGGGGTTTCACTGGGAATGCTGGCAGGGCCTCTCAACAGAAGGACGGGTGGGTGCTGCTACTGTATATATCTGTTGTTGTCACATTGGATTTTGTGCAATAAAAATAAAACCCTTGGTCAGAAGTGTCATAAAAGTTTGATTGACTTTCCTCTTTAATTGCTTATCATCCTTGAAGAGACTTCTTGGCATTTAGAAACCAGTGAATCTGTTTCCCATTTCTTCAGGCTTTATAAATACACCCTGTTTATATTAAAATGATAGACAAATATACATAAAGCTGGAAAACATGACCACAAACTCTTTTCCTCTCTCTATGCATAAAAACGAAAACCCTAAAGACACTTTTATTGTTGCTAAACTTTTGCCCTTGGCTGGTAGAGCCTTCTTTATGTTTTAACAGATCCAGACATCCTTTTCATGTGGTCCTTGGATGTTCTATATTTTATATCTCTTGTGGCTTTATAAAAAGGGAAGAATGAGCTCGCTGCACAAACATATCTGACGGTAATTTAGCGTTTTTTTTTCCCTTTTTTTTTTGCAAGTCAGAAGTATTGTCATGTTTCCATTTTAAAAAGAAGAGGGTTTCTGCCCCTTCTGGGAAACGGTGTCGGCGAGTTTTCAGTAAGTGAGCAGGGGTGAGAGCCGCCGGGCTGGGCGGTGGGGACGACCAGGGACAGGGGCACCCTCGCCTGCTCCCACTGCGGCCACCAAGCACGTGAACAGCACGGGGAGCAGCACATCTACGTGTCGAGCCCCACATCTACGTAGAGGAATAAAACCCTCCCTAGAGAGGGAGAGAGTGCAACCCAGCCATAAAAAGGATGTGCTAGTTGCAAAAGTGGGCGCATTAGGGAAAGGTTGAAGGGTGCTATTTTCGGAGCTGTTTGCCAACTGTTTCCTTCTCCTAGGAGGCGGATTCCAGGGCAGGCAGGATGGAGGCTCTGGGGCAGGCGAGTCAACAGCCTCGTTTTTGGGGTGCTGAGCGCCGGCCTCGGGAATTCAGCCCTCGGGAGGGACGGCTGAAATGCCGGCAGAAGGTGTCTCCTGTCAGCAGGTTCGAAAGTTTGGGCTTATTTAAATCGACAAAGTACCAAGCCACAAGCCCCCAAGGGCTAATTTTGGTCTTTCTTCTCTGTTGCAGGCTCCGTGCGTGTGCCTGGCGACCTGGCGCGGCACAGCAGCTCTGCTGGCGTGTGAACCACGGCGTTCGTGCAGTTAGCTCGCTTCTCACACCGCTTTGCGAGCAGCACGTCTCTGTGTGGGCTGCACTGCCCGCCTAGGCCTGAAGGCAGTTGTTCCAGGTGAGGGTTTTTTGCCTCTCGAGCAGGCAGTGGCCTTCAGAAGCTCCCTGTGGTGAAACGGGAGGTGGAGTTTTGGTAATGGAAGTGTTGTGACCGCTCAGCATCCCATTCAGGTGGGTCCCTATCTCAAATCAGGGGGTGCACTCAGTGGCTGTTTCTGTTATGCACATTTTCTATATCTTTCTACACACTCTGAAGGCAAACTGACCTTGCTCAGTTCTTTTTGCAGCCAGTGACCCCGTGCTGAGGATGCTTGGGGCCAGCACACAAGGTGACTGTGCTCGTTCTGTGCAGGAGGGGTGACAAAGCTGCTGGGGGGGCGTCTGCAGAGCCCATCTCAGGGGCCTCAACACTCTCAACGTGTAGCTCCATCCAGGAGGTGACCTGGTAAAAGCAGTGACGTTCCCGGGTGAGATCCCTCCTTTCTCTAAGGGAGGCTGTGCCAGAGACCTTCCAGCACAGGCATTAGGAAATGAACAGCTCCAAAGAGGGGCCTGGGGTACAGGATTCCTGGGGGCAGAAAACGTCCCATGATCTTCCCTGTGGTCTTCCTGCAAGTAAGGCTCTCTGAGGCATCTCAGTATTGTAAGAGTTCATTTTATCCCACATTTCTGCTGTGTGATTTCTCTTCTGCACTATGTTTCGGGCAAGCTGCAGCTTGGTGCATGTAGCAGGGTGTTAAAAGCAGGGGCTGGATAACTCAAATAGCATTTCCTGGATCAGAAAATGGGTCGCCCTGCTTGCCAATGGGCTGGCTAATGGCAGGACACGCTGTCCTGCTCGCTTGCAGCTGCCCCTTTGCAGGGGGAACACGAGGAAGTTGCGCCGTGCCGTGCTCGAGCACCGAGGCCTGTGCTGGGAGGAGGACACGCCGCAGTGTGAGGGACTGGGTTACATCTCCACCTGCAACCTGCTCCCACAACAACGCTGCTGCCCCTG